ACCTTGCACAGAGTAATGACATTGTAGAGCTTTTTGTATAAACTTACATTTTTATTTTTTGTGTCAATTGGTTTAACATTTAAAAATTGTTTAAAATTTTCTGATACATTTTAATAAACTAATTGAACACGGATTGAAAAAATATTCTTGTTATAAAATTACATTTTTATTTATAATTTTAGTTTAATCACCAAAGTCAAAACTAAACTATACCCCTTATTTTATTATTTTATGGGAATATAAAGATAACACAAAATGCTCTAATTACCATCAATGGATTGTGTATACTAATTCATATATCTACCGATACAAATTGTAAGTGATTTTAAAACTTTATGAATACTTTTCGATAGCCATAGAAAATATCTATGTTATTTATTTATGAATTTAAATGTGCAAAGACATAGACATCTCTGTCATTTATTACTCTACGGTGATAGAAAGCCTCAATGAACGCTTGTGAATGGACAGTGAATCTGTGAAATGCGAACCTACGCTGTCTGCCCGCGTCGCGCGTCACTAAGACCGGTACCTTATCTACACTTAGCAAGTTCCTACGCGTGTCTAGTTGTTGCTAGGTTTTATACTTTTGCAAACTGTTTCTCTCGATAAGACTTTCGTCGGTTTTTAAATATTTATCATTGTATATTTAACGTTATAAAATGTTAATTTAATATTATATCCAATTAAATAATAGATCGTGTTAGTAAAAAAAAATACTTTAAAAATACCAACCACATATAGAATTTCTATAGTTATATATTCAAAATAAAGTGCTATAACTCCTTTTTTATCAAATTCACCAGATTGTATTTAATCCATTGTGTGCTCGAGCTATATTTATTTAATGTTTCAAATTAGAATTACGAAAATCTAATGCGAATTGAGAAGAAGCAATCCACGATTTTATTTTTAATTTACAACAAACAAATAATGTCAATTCGATCAAACTTGATATATTTTTCTTTGTGCTTCCATGATTATATTTGAATAATTAAGGGGAACTTCAAAGAAATTATTTTCGCATTCAAGAATTTTATTTCGTCTTGCGTTTTGCAAAAGTCTCGAAAATAAATCGGATTTATTTCAAATAGCATCTAACTTTATTTAAACATATTTTAGAAGCAACAAAAAAACAAAGATTTAAATTACAAAACCGTTGAAGTCTTACAAATATTACTTAATAGCTTTCACCCGCGACTACATTCGTATGGGATAAAAAAAAACTGAGTAGCCTATGTCGTCTTCCAGACTATCCTCTACCTCTATGCTAAATTCCATCAAAATCCGTTCAGCTGTTTAGGCTACAAACTCTAACAAACATCCATCCAAATAAACTTTCGCATTTATAATATTAGTAAGAAGTAAGATTTACAACTATTAGATACTACATTATTGATCAAGTATACGTTTATTTTAAACCTATGATCATCTATTACAAATGTCTAAGCTTATTTGATTTTTTGTATAAAAAGAACTTCAAAGAAACCGATTCTTAAAGTATCTGATTCTATCTCTCATCTTACACCCACGTGGATCAATTCAATGGGTACTAATGTTTTTACGTACATCATAACATTATGTCATGTTAAACTATATTCATTGTAAACAGTTCGTTAGCATCGTTGCTATGGTATATTTGCTATACTTATCTAACTATGGTGTAGAGTTCTACTATCTATCTACCAGATTTTTTTAGCTGTTATTCGTTTATATAACATAAGCTATGTGTTGGTGTATTTCTATCTCTTTTGTAAGTCATTATCACATATGTTGTTTTTCGAGTACATAATGTAGGTTAAGATTACTATTCCATTATTTAAAGTAAATTTTGAAGAGCAGATTAAAAAAATGGTTTTCTTTTGCTACAGATTCGCAATGGGCCACCGAGGAGTTCTGGTTTTGGCGATAAGCATCGTAGGGGCAATGGCGTTTATCCCCCATGGTTCTATTGGGGAAAAGGTAAGAAAACATTCAGTTTTACTAGGATACACCTCTTTCATCGTGTCATAGCGATTGAAACATATAAAACTACTGAACAGCTTCGTCGACTTTAGCATTTGTTCCTTTGTCACTAGGATCCAATTTTAACCGAGGCTTTGCTTCGTGAAGTTGTGGAACGTATGGGCAAGGATTTCAACGATGCCGAGTCCACATACCTCGAGCTGCCCCCGAGCGAGCACCGGCTGGCAATGATGGCGCGCGCCAGCCAACAGCT